ATATATGTATATACTGTATATATATGTATGTACTGTATATATACATCATTTTCTTTAACACTTTTCCTGTATGACAGCTCCACATAGCTTACCAATGAACCTGCTGTTGCCTAGTCATGTAAAGACAATTTCTGTGACTGATGGTGTTTCTTCTTCAGGGTCCTGCTGGGGAGTCTGGGCCTCCAGGGCAACAGGGAAATCCAGGAGCAGAGGTATTGCACAATCATACATACGTAAAAAAAAGCTTAGCAGTAGTTAAAGCCAATTTAATCTTTTTTTTTTAAAACCATTTTTATGACTATGGAAAATTCGATGATCTTAAAGGGTTGGAACTACAGCTGTGCAGCCTGCACTCCTCAGAGTTTAGGTGTTTCAGAGACGACCAGCATCTGCCGCAAATCACCCCCCAACCCAGGGTCCCTGAACTCATTCACTTTTACCACCTTTACTCATTGCACTGTTATCTTCCCTTTGCGTCACTCCTGACCTTCATTCGTCTGCACTCCGAAACACACCTCCACCTCTGCGGGTTTTCTTCCACCTGCTCCCTGCTTTCTACATATATTTTAGTGTCATCTGCAAACATCATGCAATACAAAATATTGGCATATATAATACAGTGAAAAACATTGCTCGCAGAGAGAGAGACACATCGCGCACTGCCAGTGAATTCCATTCACACGTCCCATATACAAATAAAACTCTCCGTCTCCTCCTACTCCCCTGACACTTAACCTGATTGATGTTTCCTTGTTGTTGCAGGGTTTGCCTGGTCCTCAGGGGCACATCGGACTGCCTGGAGAGAAGGTGGGTTCTGCGTCAATCACTTGATTCCAGAGTTACAGCCTTGACCGCACAACCTCTGTTTCATAGGGACATGGGGGAAAAAAAAAAAAAAAAACAGTCTCGACCGTCCAGTTGAGACAAGGACAGACAGGGAATCGATGCGCAAGATACACACAGGTTTAAGAGACACTAGAGAATAACACCCAGCCTCTGCTGATCAAAGAAGGGGGGGAAAAAAAGTGAGCCTCTGCTGATCAAAGAAGGGGGGGGGGGAAAGTGGGTGAATGTTTGGTACAGCAGTAGCATCAGCAGCAAACTGGAGGATGTTTCTGAAAATGTTGCTCTTCCTTATACTGTATATGAAGCTCCGGCTCAGTGTTCACACTCTGTTTCTCTGTTACAGGGCCCTCGGGGAAAAGAGGGCATGCTGGGACTTCCAGGCATTGACGGTCCTCCTGTAAGCAAACAGAAATGTCAACGCATGCAAGATCCCTATGCACACAAACAACATAGCAGCTCACGCATTGCACATTTTTCATTTATGTACATTGACAAAGACAACAGAATAACAAAAAAAGAAAACAGAGCCACAGAAAATAAAAAAATATTCCAAAAATTCAACAGAGCCTAAAAACATCAGGGGTTAAAGGTTAATTGGACTATAGATATCCATCCACCCATCCTGTATCATCATGTAATTGGTTAAAAAAAGTTTTTCAAGTATTAGACATTTCAGACGACCCCATTTGGGTTCGTGACCCCAAGGTTGACAAACATGTATATATGTGTGTATATGTATATATCTATATGTGTGTGTATATA